TGTAACCCCCCTTAGGATCGATCGGGGATCTCAAAGTGTAGCTCTACTGACACCTATCTCTATAGGCGCCTATCTCTATGGGCGCCTATCTCTATGGGCACATATCTCTAGGGGCGCCTATCTCTATGGGCGCATATCTCTAGGGGCGCCTATCACTATGGGCGCCTATCACTATTGGCGCCTATCTCTATGGGCGCCTATCTCTAGGGGCGCCAATCTCTAGGGGCGCCTATCTCTAGCGGCGCTTACCTCTATGGGCACCTATCTTTATGTCGCCTATCTCTAGGGGCGCCTATTCGTAGGGACGCCTATCTCTAGGCCTATCTTTAGGGGCGCCTATCTCTAGGGGCGCCTATCTATATGGGCCCCTATCTCTATGGGCGCCTATCTCTATGGGCGCCTATCTCTATGGGCACCTATCTCTAGGGGCGCCTATCTCTATGGGGGCCTATCTCTAGGGGCGCCTATCTCTATGGGCGCCTATCTCTATGGGCGCCTATCTCTATGGGCGCCTATCTCTATGGGCGCTTATCTCTAGGGGCGCCTATCTCTATGGGGGCCTATCTCTAAGCGCGCCTATCTCTATGGGCGCCTATCTCTATGGGCGCCTTTCTCTGGGGGCACCTGTCTCTAGGGGCGCCTATCTCTAGGGGCGCCTATCTCTATGGGCGCCTATCTCTAGGGGCGCCTATCTCTTGGGGCGCCTTTCTCTAGGGGCGCCTATCTCTAGGAGCGCCTATTTCTAAGGGCGCCTATCTTTAGGGGCGCCTGTCTCTATGGGCGCCTATCTCTATGGGCGTCTATCTCTATGGGCGCCTATCTCTATGGGCGCCTATCTCTAGGGGCGCCTATCTATAGGGGAGCCTATCTCTATGGGCGCCTCTCTTTAGGGGCGCCTGTATCTATGGGCTCCTATCTCTTTGGGCGCCTATCTCTATGGGCGCCTATCTTTATGGGCACCTATCTCTATGGGCGCCTATCTCTAGGGGCACCTATCTCTAGGGGCTCCTATTTCTATGGGCGCCTATCTCTAGGGGCGCCTATCTCTATGGGCGCCTATCTCTATGGGCGCCTATCCTTATGGGCGCCTATCTCTATGGCCGCCTATCTCTAGGGGCACCTATCTCTAGGGGCGCCTATCTCTAGGGGCGCCTTTCTCTATGGGCGCCTATCTCTAGGGGCGCCTATCTCTAGGGGCTCCTATCTCTAGCGGCGCTTACCTCTATGGGCACCTATCTCTATGGGCGCCTATCTCTAGGGGCGCCTATTCGTAGGGACGCCTATCTCTAGGAAAGCCTATCTCTAAGGGCGCCTATCTATATGGGCCCCTATCTCAATGGGCGCCTATCTCTATGGGCGCCTATCTCTATGGGCACCTATCTCTATGGGCATTTATCTCTAGGGGCGCCTATCTCTTTGGCGGCCTATCTCTAGGGGTGCCTATCTCTATGGGCGCCTATCTCTATGGCCGCCTATCTCCAGGGGCGTCTATCTCTAGGGGCGCCTATCTCTATGGGTGCCTATCTATATGGGCGATTATCTCTATGGGCGCCTATCTATAGGGGAGCCTATCTCTTTGGGCGCCTATCTCTAGGGGCGCCTATCTCTAGGGGCGCCTATTTCTATGGGCGTCTTTCTCTAGGGGCGCCTATCTCTATGGGCGCCTATCTCTATGGGGGCCTATCTCTTTGGGCGCCTATCTCTATAGGCGCCTATCTCTAGGGGCACCTATCTCTAGGGGCGCCTATCTCTAGGGGCGCCTATCTCTAGCGGCGCTTACCTCTATCGGCACATATCTCTATGGTCGCCTATCTCTAGGGGTGCCTTTTCGTAGGAAGGCCTATCTCTAGGGGTGCCTTTTCGTAGGAACGCCTATCTCTAGGCCTATCTCTAGGGGCACCTCTCTTTAGGGGCGCCAATCTCTAGAGGCGCCTATCTCTATGGGCGCCCATCTCTAGGGGCGCCTATCTCTAGGGGCCCCTATCTCTAGGGGCGCCTATCTCCAAGGATGCCTATCTCTAGTGGCGCCTATATCTAGGGGTGCCAATTTCTAGGGGCGCCTATCTCTAGGGGCGCCTATCTCTATGGGCGCCTATCTCTTTGGGCGCCTATCTCTATGGGGGCCTATCTCTACGGGCGCCTATCTCTATGGGCGCCTATCTCTATGGACGCCTATCTCTATGGGCGCCTATCTCTAGGGGCACCTATCTCTAGGCGCGCCTATCTCTAGGGGCGCCTATCTCTAGGGGCGCCTATCTCTAGGGGCGCCTATCTCTCGGGGCGCCTACCTCTAGGAGCGCCTATCTCTAAAAGCGCCTATCTCTAGGGGCGCCTATCTCTATGGGCGCCTATCTCTATAAGCATCTATCTCTATGGGCGCCTATCTCTATGGGCGCCTATCTCTAGGGGCGCCTATCTGTAGGGGAGCCTATCTCTATGGGCACCTCTCTTTAGGGGCGCCTGTTTCTATGGGCCCCTATCTCTTTGGGCGCCTATCTCTATGGGCGCCTATCTCTAGGGGTGCCTATCTCTAGGGGCGCCTATTTCTATCGGTGCCTATCTCTAGGGGCGCCTATCTCTATGGGCACCTATCTCTATGGGGGCCTATCTCTAGGGGCGCCTATCTCTATGGGCGCCTATCTCTATGGGTGCCTATCTCTATGGGCGCCTATCTCCAGGGGCACCTATCTCTAGGGGCGCCTATCTCTTGGGGCGCCTATCTCTATGGGCACCTATTTCTATGGGCGCCTATCTCTAGGGGCGCCTATCTCCATGGGCGCCTATTTCTATGGGTGCCTATCTATATGGGCGCCTATCTCTATGGGCACCTATCTCTATGGGGGCCTATCTCTAGGGGCGCCTATCTCTATGGGCGCCTATCTCTATGGGTGCCTATCTCTATGGGCGCCTATCTCCAGGGGCACCTATCTCTAGGGGCGCCAATCTCTTGGGGCGCCTATCTCTATGGGCACCTATTTCTATGGGCGCCTATCTCTAGGGGCGCCTATCTCCATAGGCGCCTATCTCTAGGGGCGCCTATCTCTAGGGGCGCCTATTTCTATGGGCGCCTATCTCTAGGGGCGCCTATCTCTATGGGCGCCTATCTCTATGGGCGCCTATCGCTAGGGGCACCTATCTCTAGGGGCGCCTATCTCTAGTGGCGCTTACCTCTATCGGCACCTATCTCTATGGTGGCCTATCTCTAGGGGCGCCTTTTCGTAGGAACGCCTATCTCTAGGCCTATCTCTATGGGCGCCTATCTCTTTGGGCGCCTATCTCTTTGGGCGCCTATCTCTAGGGGCGCCTATCTCTATGGGCACCTAGCTCTAGGGGCGCCTATCTCTATGGGCGCCTATCTCTATGGGCGCCTATCTCTATGGGCGCCTATCTCTAGGGGCACCTATCTCTAGGGGCGCCTATCTCTAGGGGCGCCTATCTCTATGGGCGCCTACCTCTAGGGGCGCCTATCTCTAGGGGCGCCTATCTCTAGGGGCGCCTATCTCTAGGAGCGCCTATCTCTAAGGGCGCCTATCTCTAGGGGCGCCTATCACTATGGGCGCCTATCTCTATGAGCGCCTATCTCTATGGGCGCCTATCTCTATGGGCGCCTATCTCTATGGGTGCCTATCTCTAGGGGCGCCTATCTCTATGGGCGCCTATCTCTAGGGGCGCCTATCTCTATGGGCGCCTATCTCTAGGGGCGCCTATCTCTAGGGGCGCCTATCTCTAGCGGCGCTTACCTCTATGGGCACCTATCTCTGTGGGCGCCTATCTCTAGGGGCGCCTATTCGTAGGGACACCTATCTCTAGGCCTATCTCTAGAAGCGCCTATCTCTAGGGGCGCTTATCTATATGGGCGCCTATCTCTATGGGCGCCTATCTCTATGGGCGCCTATCTCTATGGGCGCCTATCTCTATGGGCACCTATCTCTAGGGGCGCCTATCTCTATGGGGGCCTATCTCTAGGGGCGCCTATCTCTATGGGCGCCTATCTCTATGGGCGCCTATCTCTATGGGTGCCTATCTCTGGGGGCACCTATCTCTAGGGGCGCCTATCCCTAGGGGCGCCTATCTCTTTGGGCGCCTATCTCTAGGGGCCCCAATCTCTAGGGGCGCCTATCTCTAGGGGCGCCTATCTCTAGGAGCGCCTATCTCTATGGGCGCCTATTTCTAGGGGCGCCTATCTCTATGGGCGCCTATTCCTATGGGCGCCTATTTCTAGGGGCTCCGATCTCTATGGGCGCCTATTTCTATGGGCGCCTATCTCTAGGGGCGCCTATCTCTATGGGCGCCTATCTCTATGGGCGCCTATCTCTAGGGGCACCTATCTCTAGGGGCGCCTATCTCTAGGGGCGCCTATCTCTAGGGGCGCCTATCTCTATGGGCGCCTATCTCTATGGGCGCCTATCTCTATGGGCGCCTATTTTTATGGGCGCCTATCTCTATGGGCGCCTATCTCTATGGGTGCCTATCTCTATGGGCGCCTATCTCTAGGGGCGCCTATCTCTAGGGGCGCCTATCTCTAGCGGCGCTTACCTCTATGGGCACCTATCTCTATGGGCGCCTATCTCTAGGTGCGCCTATTCGTAGGGACGCCTATCTCTAGGCCTATCTCTAGGGGCGCCTATCTCTAGGGGCGCTTATCTATATGAGCACCTATCTCTATGGGCGCCTATCTCTATGGGCGCCTATCTCTATGGGCGCCTATCTCTATGGGCACCTATCTCTAGGGGCGCCTATCTCTATGGGGGCCTATCTCTAGGGGCGCCTATCTCTATGGGCGCCTATCTCTATGGGTGCCTATCTCTATGGGCGCCTACCTCTGGGGGCACCTATCTCTAGGGGCGCCTATCTCTAGGGGCGCCTATCTCTATGGGCGCCTATCTCTAGGGGCGCCAATCTCTAGGGGCGCCTATCTCTAGGGGCGCCTATCTCTAGTAGCGCCTATCTCTAAGGCCGCCTATCTCTAGGGGCGCCTATCTCTATGGGCGCCTATCACTATGGGCGCCTATCTCTATGGGCGCTTATCTCTAGGGGCGCCTATCTATAGGGGAGCCTATCTCTATGGGCGCCTCTCTTTAGGGGCGCCTGTTTCTATGGGCTCCTATCTCTTTAGGCGCCTATCTCTATGGGCGCCTATCTCTATGGGCGCCTATCTCTATGGGCGCCTATTTCTAGGGGCGCCTATCTCTAGGGGCGCCTATTTCTATGGGCGCCTATCTCTAGGGGCGCCTATCTCTATGGGCGCCTATCTCTATGGCCGCCTATCTCTAGGGGCGTCTATCTATATGGGCGCCTATCTCTATGTGCGCCTATCTCTATGGGCGCCTATCTCTATGGGCGCCTATCTCTTTGGGCACCTATCTCTAGGGGCGCCTATCTCTTTGGGGGCCTATCTCTAGGGGCGCCTATCTCTATGGGCGCCTATCTCTATGGCCACCTATCTCTAGGGGCGTGTATCTCTAGGGGCGCCTATCTCTATGTGCGCCTATCTCTATGGGCGCCTATCTCTAGGGGCGCCTATCTATAGGGGAGCCTATCTCTATGGGCGCCTGTTTCTATGGGCCCCTATCTCTTGGGGCGTCTATCTCTGTGGGCGCCTATCTCTATGGGCGCCTATCTCTAGGGGCGCCTATCTCTAGGGGCGCCTATCTCTAGGGGCGCCTATCTTTAGGGGCGCCTATCTCTAGGGGCACCTATCTCTAGGGGCGCCTATCTCTATGGGCGCCTATCTCTATGGGCGCCTATCTCTAGGGACGCCTATCTCTAGGGACGTCTATCTCTAGGGGCGCCTATCTCTAGGGGCGCCTATCTCTAGGGGCGCCTATCTCTAGAGGCGCCTATCTCTATGGGCGCCTACCTCTATGGCGCCTATTTCTAGAGGCGCCTATCTATAGGGGCGCCTATCTCTAGGGGCGCCTATCTCTAGGGGCGCCTATCTCTATGGGCGCCTTTCTCTATGGGCGCCTCTATTTAGGGGCGCCAATCTCTAGAGGCGCCTATCTCTATGGGCGCCCATCTCTAGGGGCGCCTATCTATAGGGGCCCCTATCTCTAGGGGCGCCTATCTCCAGGGGTGCCTATCTCTAGGGGCGCCTATCTCTAGGGGTGCCAATCTCTAGGGGCGCCTATCTCTAGGGGCGCCTATCTCTATGGGCGCCTATCTCTATGGGCGCCTATCTCTTTGGGCGCCTATCTCTAGGGGCGCCTATCTCTATGGGTGCCTATCTCTATGGGCGCCTATCTCTATGGGCGCCTATCTCTAGGGGCGCCTATCTCTATGGACGCCTATCTCTTTGGGCGCCTATCTCTAGAGGCGCCTATCTCTAGAGGCGCCTATGTCTAGGTGCGCCTATCTCTATCGGCGCCAATCTCTATGGGCACCTATCTCTAGGGTTGTCTATCTCTATGGGCGCCTATCTCTATAGGCGCCTATCTCTATGGGCGCCTATCTCTATGGGCGCGTATCTATGGGCGCCTATCTCTAGGAGCGCCTATCTCTATGTGTGCTTATCTCTAGGGGTGCCTTTCTCTATGGGCGCCTATCTCTATGGGCGCCTATCTCTATGGGCGCCTATCTCTAGGGGCACCTATCTCTAGGGGTGCCTATCTCTTACGGCGCCTATCTCTATGGGCGCCTATCTCTAGGGGCGCCTATCTCTATGGGCGCCTATCTGTAGCGGCGCCTACCTCTATGGTCGTTTACCTCTATGGGCGCCTATCTCTATGGGCGCCTATCTCTAGGGGCGCCTATTCGTAGGGGCGCCTATCTCTAGGGGCGCCTATCTCTAGGGGCGCCTATCTCTAGGGGCGCCTATCTCTAGGGACGCCTATCTCTATGGGCGCCTATTCGTAGGGGCGCGTATCTCTAAGGGCGCCTATTTCTAGGGGTGCCTATCTCTAGGGGCGCCTATCCCTAGGGGCGCCTATTTCTATGGGCGCCTATTTCTATGGGCGCCTATCTCTAGGGGTGCCTATCTCTAGGGGCGCCTATTTCTAGGGGCGCCTATCTCTATGGGCGCCTATCTCTATGGGCGCCTATCTCTAGGGGCGCCTATTTCTATGGGCACCTATCTCTACGGGCGCCTATTTCGATGGGCAACTATCTCTGTGGGTGCCTATCTCTAGGGGCGCCTATCTCTAGGGGCGCCTATCTCTAGCGGCGCTTACCTCTATGGTCGCTTACCTCTATGGGCGCCTATCTCTATGGGCGCCTATCTCTATGGGCGCCTATCTCTAGGGGCGCCTATCTCTATGGGCGACTACCTCTATGGCGCCCATTTCTAGAGGCGCCTATCTATAGGGGCGCCTATCTCTAGGGGCGCCTATCTCTAGGGGCGCCTATCTCTATGGGCGCCTATCTCTATGGGTGCCTATCTCTATGGGCGCCTCTCTTTAGGGGCGCCAATCTCTAGAGGCGCCTATCTCTATGGGCGCCCATCTCTAGGGGCGCCTATCTCTAGGGGCCCCTATCTCTAGCGGCGCCTATCTCCAGGGGTGCCTATCTCTAGGGGTGCCTATCTCTAGAGGCGCCTATATCTATGGGCGCCTATCTCTAGGGGCGCCTATTTCTATGGGCACCTATCTCTAGGGGCGCCTATCTCTATGGACGCCTATCTCTATGGGCGCCTATCTCTATGGGTGCCGATCTCTAGGGGCACCTATCTCTAGGGGCGCCTATCTCTAGAGGCGCATATCTCTAGGCGCGCCTATCTCTAGAGGCGCCTATCTCTAGGGGCGCCTGTCTCTAGGGGCGCCTTTCTCTATGGGTGCCTATCTCTATGAGCGCCTATCTCTAGGGGCGCCTATTTCTATGGGAACCTATCTCTAGGGGCGCCTATCTCTAGGGGTGCCAATCTGTAGGGGCGCCTATCTCTAGGGGCTCCTATCTCTATGGGCGCCTATCTCTAGGGGCGCCTATCTCTATGGGCGCCTATCTCTTTGGGCGCCTATCTCTGAGGGCGCCTATTTTTAGGGGCGCCTATGTCTAGGTGCGCCTATCTCTATGGGCGCCTATCTCTATGGGCGCCTATTCGTAGGGGCGCCTATCTCTAGGGGCGCCTATCTCTAGGGGCGCCTATCTCTAGGGGCGCCTTTCTCTAGGGACGCCTATCTCTATGGGCGCCTATTCGTAGGGGCGCTTATCTCTAAGGGCGCCTATCTATAGGGGTGCCTATCTCTAGTGGCGCCTATCTCTAGGGGCGCCTATCTCTATGGGCGCCTATCTCTAGGGGCGCCTATCTCTAGGGGCGCCTATTTCTATGGGCACCTATCTCTAGGGGCGCCTATTTCGATGGGCGACTATCTCTATGGGTGCCTATCTCTATGGGTGCCTATCTCTAGGGGCACCTATCACTAGGGGTGCCTATCTCTAGAGGCGCCTATATCGATGGGCGCCTATCTCTAGGGGCGCCTATCTCTAGGGGCGGCTATCGCTAGGGGCGCCTATCTCTACGGGCGCCTATCTTTATGGGCGCCTATCTCTAGGGGCGTCTATTTCTATGGAAACCTATCTCTTGGGGCGTCTATCTCTATGGGCGCCTATCTCTAGGGGCGCCTATCTCTAGGGGCGCCTATCTTTAGCGGCGCTTACCTCTATGGTCGCTTACCTCTATGGGCGCCTATCGCTATGGGCGCCTATCTCTAGGGGCGCCTATCTCTATGGGCGCCTATCTCTATGAGCGCCTATCTCTAGGGGCGCCTATTTCTATGGGAACCTATCTCTAGGGGCGCCTATCTCTAGAGGTGCCTATCTCTAGAGGTGCCAATCTCTAGGGGCGCCTATCTCTAGGGGCGCCTATCTCTATGGGCACCTATCTCTAGGGGCGCCTATCTCTATGGGCGCCTATCTCTTTGGGCGCCTATCTCTAAAGGCGCCTATCTCTAGGGGCGCCTATTTCTAGGTGCTCCTATCTCTATGGGCGCCTATCTCTATGGGCGCCTATCTCTATGGGCGCCTATCTCTATGGGCGCCTATCTCTATGGGCGCCTATCTATATGGGCGCCTATCTCTAGGAGCCCCTATCTCTATGGGTGCCTATCTCTAGGGGTGCCTATCTCTAGTGGCGCCTATCTCTTTGGGCGCCTATCTCTATGGTCGCCTATCTCTAGGGGCACCTATCTCTAGGGGCGCCTATCTCTATGGGCGCCTATCTGTAGCGGCACTTACCTCTATGAGTCGCTTACCTCTATGGGCACCTATCTCTATGGGCGCCTATCTCTAGGGGCGCCTATTCGTAGGGGCGCCTATCTCTAGGGGCGCCTATCTCTAGGTGCGCTTATCTCTAGGGGCGCCTTCCTCTAGGGACGCCTATCTCTAAGAGTGCCTATTCGTAGGGGCGCCTATCTCTAAGGGCGCCTATCTCTAGGGGTGCCTATCTCTAGGGGCGCCTATCTCTAGGGGCGCCTATCTTTATGGGCGCCTATCTCTATGGGCGCCTATCTCTAGGGGCGCCTATTTCTATGGGCACCTATCTCTAGGGGCGCCTATCTCTATGGGCGCCTATCTCTATGGGCGCCTATCTCTATCGGTGCCTATCTCTAGGGACACCTATATCTAGGGGCGCCTATCTCTAGAGGCGCCTATCTCTAGGTGTGCCTATCTCTAGGGGCGCCTATCTCTAGGGGCGCCTATCTCTAGGGGCACCTATCTCTATGGGCGCCTATCTCTATGGGCGCTTAACTCTAGGGGCACCTATTTCTATGGGAACCTATCTCTAGGGGCGCCCATCTCTAGGGGCGCCTATCTCTAGCGGCGCTTAACTCTATGGGCACCTATCTCTATGGGCGCCTATCTCTATGGGCGCCTATTCGTAGGGGCGCCTATCTCTAGGGGCGCCTATCTCTAGGGGTGCTTATCTCTAGGGGCGCCTTCCTCTAGGGACGCCTATCTCTAAGAGTGCCTATTCGTAGATGCGCCTATCTCTAAGGGCGCCTATCTCTAGGGGTGCCTATCTCTAGGGGCGCCTATCTCTAGGGCTGCCTATCTTTATGGGCGCCTATCTCAATGGGCGCCTATCTCTAGGGGTGCCTATTTTTATGGGTGCCTATCTCTATGGGCGCCTATCTCTAGGGGCGCCTGTTTCCATGGGCACCTATCTCTAGGGGCGCCTATCTCTATGGGCGCCTATCTTTATGGGCGCCTATCTCTATCGGTGCCTATCTCTATGGGCGCCTATCTCTAGGGGCGCCTATTTCTATGGGCACCTATCTCTAGGGGCGCCTATCTCTAGGGGCGCCTATCTCTAGGGGCGCCTATCTCTAGGGGCGCCTATCTCTAGGGGCGCCTTTCTCTAGGGACGCCTATCTCTATGGGCGCCTATTCGTAGGGGCGCTTATCTCTAAGGGCGCCTATCTATAGGGGTGCCTATTTCTAGTGGCGCCTATCTCTAGGGGCGCCTATCTCTATGGGCGCCTATCTCTAGGGGCGCCTATCTCTAGGGGCGCCTATTTCTATGGGCACCTATCTCTAGGGGCGCCTATTTCGATGGGTGACTATCTCTATGGGTGCCTATCTCTATGGGTGCCTATCTCTAGGGGCACCTATCACTAGGGGTGCCTATCTCTAGAGGAGCCTATATCGATGGGCGCCTATCTCTAGGGGCGCCTATCTCTAGGGGCGGCTATCGCTAGGGGCGCCTATCTCTACGGGCGCCTATC